ATGAGGTGAAGGTGACAGACATTTGCAGCTGTATTGTCACTTCTGGGAGAAGGCATGTTCCTTAATCCACTCGTGGAAAACAGTTACACAAGAATGACCTGTATTAGATCAGATTTTCTGCTTCAGAGCAGTCTGAACTCAATATTCACCAGCTACCTGAATTTAATTCATAATGATATGAATGGCCCCAACATGCAATGAGAAGCTTGATGTGCAGTGTCACCAAACCAGAGTGCTCTGGGTTTTTTTAGTGAAAGTCTCTTTCATCTTGTATCAGACACAATATCCTGTGCATATCACTTTGGGTTTAGCTAGTTGCTGTCATCACAAAGCAGCTCTTTTTTATGGCAGAATTCCCTAGGCACACCAGACAAATTGGCTCACACAAATCTGCTTCATGTGAATCTAACTGGATCACAGTGGTACTGAAACCTCTGTTTTTCCTGTGCGTGAAAGATAATCCCATTGATGGATATCTTTCCTGTTCCTTATCTGTAGCCACATTTTAATGTTTTGATTAGCCCAAATCTTCTCTAGACTTGAACACTAGTCCCATAGCTATGCATACCTCTCTCTGAGATTTTGAACTCTTAAATTACTCAAATAATGCATTTTTTTCTGAAGTCCTTCTAGCCTACCTAGTGCCCTAGACATCGGCTGTTTTTTCCCCCACAGCTGAAGTAAGACACCACTAAACACAACAGCAGATTAATTCATGTGAACATGTTCATAAAACAGTTCAGTAGAAGCTGAGAAAACAAAATAAATTTAAGTTGAACTGTCACCATCCCTTGTAGAGAAGGCTTCAACAGATGAGCCTGCTTTTGCTTAGAGCTCTAGCCCAAAATAATTAGTGGGCTGTGTTAATCTAAATGTTGTGGTTCGCTGAAGATTGCTTTGTGTACAACTAATTATTCTTTGTCTTCTTTTCAAACACTTTCAAATATCCATAGGTGTTCTCACATTTGTGCTAGAAAATCAGTAATACTTTATGTTTTGAGACATCTAAGCCTTTTTAAAATGCCATATTTCACACAAAGTAATAATTTTACATATTTAAAAAAACAAAACGAAACATTTTTTTCCAAGGAAAATTAACTTAAAACCAAGCATTTCTGATCAAAAGGAAGAGTATTTATGATTTTAAAAAATATTTCATAGGATACATTTTTTAAAGTTACGCATGACCAGCTTTTTCGCTTATCAGAAAGGAATTAAACACCAAAAGCAAACAAGCAAGAGTCCAGAAATTGCATTCGTTACAGCTAAGGACAACATAATGTTAGCAGCTTCATATTCTATTCTGATTCAAGGGTCTTCAGTTTTCAGATGTTGTCTATGCTAGGCAAAATTAGCATGATCATAAAAGAGGTGTGCTTACATAACACAGTATATAATGCAGTGGATGTCAGAATTTAACATTATATATCTAATGCTTCCAGTATTTTGAACAAGAAGTTTTGCCATAAATGTTTTTTAATCTGGATGGTACTGCTTAGTTGCTGGCTGTGAACACATACTTCATTTACTTTATGTAGTTCTACTGACAAGTTGATGTGTGCCCTATTACCTGAATGAGATGCTACTTTAAGAAGGACACTATTTGTATTTCAAGATGCTTCTGTCTCTGTAGGAATTTTTCTAGTACTGCCTGATATTGATTAACTGCATAAAAAGCTTTCCATGTACATGTTCTTATATTGCTGTATGGTGCTCAGCAGTCTCTGTGATCTCTTTATCCCTATTATATTTTCCAAAGGACTCAGCATAGAAACAGAATAGAAATAAATTTACGTCCTTCAGTGTGACCCAGAGATAACAAGACAGACATTTTCCCCTATCTCACTAAGGCAATACTGCAGAAAGGGATGTTGAAAAATGCTTGCAACAGCTCTTACTGTAGCTTCCTGTTATTTATGGGTATTCATTCCTGGTCATAATGTGCAGCACAACTGAGAATCAAAAAAATGATTCATGAAGTGGCATGGATGGAATCTAGTAGCTTTTCACTAGTGCTGTGGCAAATATTATATAATAATTGGGGAACTAGAGCATATTGTGCGGGGTCAGCATCACAAGTGATCAGTCTCCTGTCCTCAGCAAACTGGTGTGATGTACACCTGGAGCATCTCTGAACTTCCTATCCAAGACTGGGCAGGCCAACTAAAGTGAGAGCCACCTCTGCTTGATAGACCTGTTCTCTTACCTAGGCCATTGTCAAGGAGATTAGGTTTGCTAGCATAGGACAAAATAACGTGATTTAAATAGATACTGGTAATGAACTGCCATACACATTTCCTTTATTGTTTGAGGAAGAAATGCAGATAAATGTATGTGTGCTTGCAGTCACTGTATGTGAAGCTCTAAATAAAGCAAATGAACACTGGAGGCTTATAGATCAGTACTCTATGATTTCTTTACTGAATTGGAGGGACTCCATCACTGTACCATTTCTCTGCATTTGCTTCCTGCAGCAGGAAGTTTTTAATTTAGCATTCAGCAAGACTGGGCATAGGAGGGATGTTTCAGCTCTAATGGACTGAAAAGATCATGCTGTTGCATCTATTTCATGCTGTAATTTTTACAAAGGAACATATTAATATAATAATTCACTCTGCTGTTTTCAGCAATTTGTTGTTTCTTTGTGATTTGCATATGTGTGGTTTGAAGTTGTTTATTTTAGTTATTCCTAAGATCTCCCAAGTTTGTGTTTGTTTTCAAAACTAATATAAAATATTTTTATACAAATCAAATGAACAATTTGGCATGTGAAACTTTGACTCAGTGTCATTTGCTATTAGGGCACAACAAAGACATGAAGATGGGGAAAAAGTATGTTTCCAAGTACTGAACCACACAGTTTGGGTTTGGAGTGTTTGGGAAAAACAGTCGCTATGAAGCTCTTCTGGGTTGACTACAAAAATTAAAAATACTTCTTGTCTACTCATGCAGCTATTATTCAGGAAAGAATAACGATGTTTTGTCACTGCTATAGTGATTTTCTTCTTGAATCAACTGTATGGATGTTAAGTATTTCATTCCCATTACAATGAGATGAAATGAATATCATCTTATTTTTGTCACTTGTAAACTGAGGCCCAGGTCAAGCATTCCCTACTCTCCCCATCCTGTGTTCAGGCCTGAGTTAGCTCAGATTGCCTGCTAAAGTCATCCTTCCTTAAAGATCAAGGTGCTGCAAGATCAATACCAGATTATGTTCTTTGCTGCTAGCCTGAGAAGCTTTTTCTATTTCCCAGAACTCACTAATGTGCCGTTGTACAGAGGTCATCCTTTTGTTGAATTGCTGAATAATCCAGCAGGGTGCAGGGCTGAGTTCCCTCTCCAGAAGCAGAGAGCCAACGGTAAAAGTCACTTCTAAGATACAGCTGAGAAGACTTTGTTCACTTCCATCACCTCTACGTCAAAAGTATTAGCAAATAGGAGAATATTAATTGAGGAACAACAAAAGGGATTCAATGGCTGAGGAGACTGATGTAGGTAGTAAAATAAAAGAAATAATACTATAAACACATTTTTGAGGTTTCCTGATTAAAAAAGACTTGTTTGGGTTTTTTTAAGATGCATGTGCAACGGCCACCAGATGAGCTGGAATTGAATTTGTGCAGATGTTGCACTTTGTTATTCCATTTTAACCCAGGTGACTTCAGCCAAGAAATAAAATCGAGGTTTTACTCACTGACACTGCAACAGCTCACAGGTTTTATCAGTAGTAGCTGAGCAGAAATCAAGAGGCGTTATAGTTGTGTTGCATGTTTAAAAGTTGGTCCAATTTTCTTTTGCTGTCTTACTAGAAATAAAAATATTTAAAAATTATCCATGTAAATAAATATTAGAAGTCTATCCACATAACAGCCTGTAAGTATTTAGAAGGTATGCACAAAGAAGTTATGGGAATTTTTACATATTATATAATTTAGCTTGAGCTCATAATTTTCCCACATGCTTGAAAAAAAACCACATTATGAATGGAGAGAGCAGAAGTTCAGAGCTGGAACTTACATACGTTGTTTACATCTACTATTCACATAGTTGTCAACCTTATGTGGTAGAAACGACCCAAGGCACTGCCATCTCCTTTGTCCTTGTAATATCATTTTAGGTAGGAAATTGCCAAGTAGGACACTTGTGCAGATTATGTAATTTTGTCCCAGTCATAAATAGGACAAACACAGGAGTCCCTTTTAAAACACTCTTCATGATGACTTTTTCCATCTGTGTCATTCTATCTGGGGAGCTACTTGCTTTCATTGTTCACTGGGTGGTTTGGGTTTTTTTACATTTTCTCCAAAATGTTTTTGTTTCTTCTCTGTGCCTCTTAAGGCTTCATTAGTGTATATAGATTTACGTTTGAATGAAATCTAGACCTCTGAAACAAAGGAGTACGGTTTATTGTGAAAAACAGTTTCCTTCCAGGAACCCTACCATTCTGCATTATCAAGCGTTGCATTGCCTTGGTGGTTTTGCTTTTCCTGCATGAAGGGCTTTAATCCCTGAAGCAGAATCAAACCTACAGTGTCTAACATGTCACGTCTCCACCAGCTTCATCTGACTCCGGCTTCGCTTTGCCTTTTGCTTTACCTGTCTTTGTGCATTTGCAGCACGGCTTGATGCCCCCTGTGTCCTCCTGCAGGGGCTTTGCCTGCCCCTCGGGGCAGGGAGCAGCAGGGAGGGCACAGCCTGCACTGCACTGGATGGAGGAAGGGCCCCCAGGATGGCACACACTCCTGCTGCTGCAGCTTCCCCCCACCACCCTGCAGCCCAGGAGCTAACCCATTACATGAGTTGTGCACACTGGGAGAAATTAAATTTGCATTTTGAAGCAAAAATGCTGCATCTCAAACAAAGTCCAGCCTACCTGGCTTTGCAGTCACTTGTGACTGTTTCTCATGGGTAAATAGTTACCACTTTAGTGTGGACATCATGTCCCAGCTCAGCCTTTCAGGATTGTGCCCACCGGTGTTTTTTCTCTCTTTTTGCAGGGATACGTAGTTGATGAACATGCAGCCATGCAAGCTCGATGGGAAAAGGCATCTAGAGAAACAATCAAGAAGACAACCAAGCCGTGCCCCAACTGCAATATTCCAGTTGAAAAAAATGGTAAGTTTATTAGATATCTCATACTTAACTGTCTTTTAAAATTCATTTTACAATATAAACGTATGAATGTGCATTTGTACATATGCACACTATTTTTCCAAGAGAAGAAGAGCACACAGAGCTTGAATCTTCCCTCTGTCACTTTATCTAAATTATCTTGAAATCACTAAATATAAATCACTTAGTTCTGAAGCCGCTAATTACACGTCACCAAATGCCCGGTTATTTTACAGATAGGGAAAATGAAGCACAGAGAGACTGTGGATGTAGCATTCATATGACTGAATGCCCAGGTGGTTGTCTAAACTCCCTGTCACTGGAAAAAAAAGACATTTGTAGGGCCAAACTCATCTCATGACAAAACAGAACATGTGTCTAATGTAGGCCAGAAGAATTGCACCTAAAAGTAGGGTGTGGAGAATTAGTCCTGCTGTAGATGTCTACGCAATATATAGCTGAATTTAGATGAGATTAGTCTCAACCCAGTGGCATGTCCACAGCAGAAGAGTAAGTCACAGGAAGAAACATGAGTCCTGACAAACTGGTTGCATTAATCTATGCTTACCATGTAGTAAGAAAAGGAAACTGCTGGCACTGTGGTGGTTAAAATCGGGAACAGAAACAGTGAATAAGTCCATGCTGTTCCAAGATTTAATTGTATTTATGTTAATTAATCAAAATATATTTAAATGCTTTCGTAAATATTATATGAATATTAAGTATAGAGGATGCTTCTCAGTTTTGGTGCATCACTTACTCAAATGGGATGCTAAAAACGCCAAATAAGACACTAAACTGCAAGGATCTAACACTTCAAGCAGTGATACCACAGAAATATTACTGAGGAAGAAATAGGACAAAATCCTGAAATCTGGGGTTTGATGAAAGAAAAGAAGGCAGTTGGCAGATGGAAAGTGGGAGACTTTTTCAAGCACAAGAAGCAGAAGGAAAGAAAGCTTGAATTCAAGAGTGGGAAGGCGAGACAAGATTTGGCAAAGTGTAGAGAGCAAGGTGGGCAGCAGAAGAGATATAAAAGAGGGATAGGTCAAAAAAATTATTTAAAGACTTGTAAAACAGGATGGAAACCAGAAGTTTGGACGGGATTAGAAATAGACAAATAGTAATTGTGACTATTCATACTTAACAGTTTGTGCACAGCCAAATAAAAAAAACTTCTGGTCAGGCTTGAAGAAGTTCTAAGACCTTTACCTTCTCTTACACTCTGTTACAAAATCTTTACTGTTAAATTACAGGCAGTTGTCACTTGTCACAAACAGGATATCCCTCTTTGACACCATTTACACAACTCCCACTAATGTTTAGGGAAGTTGCTTGTAAATATCCCAAATGTATCAAAAAGGAAACAAAGGCCATTATAATTTTTATCTTTGAAAGGAAATATTTATTGAAAATTGATAATAAGCAGGAAAAAAACCTTTCCTTGCTTATATCCTGACCCATGACAGAACAGTGCCTCATAATGCAGAATGGCAAACCCACAGCAGCAGGCTAGAAATGTTTTAACACAGCTGATCGTGCTGACATTCAGAAGGGCCTTGACAGGCTGGGGAATGGGCTGAGAGAAACCTCATGAAGTTCAAAAAAGGGAAATGAACAGGTACAGGTTGGGGCCAACCTGATGGAAAGGACCTGAGTGTCCCAGTGGACTACAAGTTGGGCATAAGCCAGCAACACGCCCTTCCAGCAAAGGTGGCCAACAGCATTCTGGGCTGCATTAGGAAGAGCATCACCAGCAGGCTGAGGGAGGTGATCCCTCTGCTCAGTGCTGGTGAGACACATCTACAGTGGTGGGTCCAGTTCTGGGCTTCACTGTGCAAGAGAGACATGGACTGGAGTGAGTCCAGTGAAGGGCTACAAAGATGATAAAAGGACTAAGTAAATACCTGCTGCAGGGAGCAAAGAAGACAGAGACAAACTCTTCTCAGTGGTGCCCACTGAAAGGGCAGAAGGCAATGGGCACAAACTGAAACACAGGAAATTCTGTTAAATTGTAAGGAAATGCTTTTAACTGTGTGGGTGGTTGAAGACTGGAACAGGTTGCCCAGAAAGTGTCTCCCTTCTAAGATACATTCAAAACCCATTTGGACGCAACATTGAGCACCCTACTTTACTACTTCAGTTGACCCTGCTTGAGCCGTGGGGTTTGGATGGGGTGATCTCTAACGGCACCTTCCCACCTCAGTGACTGCGATTCTGAGATTTAAGGTGTGAAGCTGAAAAAGTGCAGTGCTTGCTTTTTTCTCTGGTCATGGCTACTGCACATGCCAGCTTCTAGGCTGACATTTGTAAACTGAAAGCAGCACTTCTACCTAAGTACAGCTGGTGTCAAGCAGCTGATGACTGTACACCAAAGTCTTCCAACAGTCCTCATTTGGGAGGAGTACACTGTCTCCACACAAGAGAGTAATTCTGCCTTCCCTCCCCATATCTTTCTGTGGACACTGTCTTTTGCAAGGGACAGTGACAATGACAATAACTTTAATAGCCTGTATTTCTCTATGTCAATAACATTTCTGTAATAGCCTGTATAGCTACAGGCATTGTAGAATACTTCTGTATGCCAATAACTTTTCTGTAGTAGCCAAAGTGAAAGAGCAAAACATTCCCACAGCTCAATTCCCAGCCTGAGTTTAAACACACATCCATATCTCTCAGAGGACTGCTGTACTCACAAAGCTGTAGGCCACGTTGCTTGAGGCACTCTCTACTCTGCTAATCTCTGCTGCCCTGTAGCAGAGAATAACATGATTTATGTAGCTTGGCAGGTAGAGCACATGTTTGACAGAGGGTGCCTATTGGGATTTGAGTCCTGTGCCAGGACTGAGATGCGTTTTACCTCGTGATGGCTTAATACAAATCGTAAGAGAGGATTGGATCTACACCTTAAGTAAAGGGTAACATGGAGGCTGGCCATTGGTACGCTCACATTTAAATAAGATAAAAATGTCTGGCGAATTGCATCTCTTACACAAAGGTATAAACTGATGAATAGACCTTGCCATCACAGTTAGTTTTCTCTCTCTGTCAGATGAAGCAGACAGGCCTATTTTAACAAACCAGTTCTTGTGTCTCCTGCTGTTTTTACCTTCTGAGAATCATTCTAGAGTGGCATTTATAAAAAAAGGTGGTGTAAGGGTAGCAGGTCATACAGTAGGGAACACACACTCTCTGCACCTCCTATCACCATCTGGAGTCAAACCAAGATGACATTTCAGCATTTCTTCATCTTGCATGCTTTTCTTTCAGTTTGAACTACACAAGAGATCTCTTTGTGTGGTAAGCAACGTAATTTCTATTTGAAGTGTATTTCTGTAATGACCTTTGACAATGTTAATGTTTCATGTATTACAAAATAAACATTTCATCAAGGTCGTGAGAAGAGAGATTAAAGCTGCTCTCACAGTATGGGCAAGTAAGAAACCCAACACACAGGAAATGTTGATGCAATCAAAAGGCTGCTTCAGATACTAAGAAGGGCAAATCAAGTTAAATTACTAATGTCATTTTGATATAATCAGCAGACACCTAAGTCTGTATCTTCTGATTTATTCTCATTGCAAATCTCTCAGTTGTTGAATCTAAATTCAAAAAATAATTTCTTTTTGCTCAACTTCTGGCTCACAGCTGGACTAAGGTAGAGTATCCTTGACCAGACACCTCCATGATTTCTTTGAGGGGCCGCACACTGTCATCTCTTTTCCCTATCCCTAGCAGTCTCTTCCAATTTCAGACAGGACTGCAGTTCCTAGTCCTGCAGTCTCTCAACTGAGACCAGTACATTCCACCTCATTAAGAGAGGGAGTAGCAGGTTTTAGAAAGCCTATGAAAAGTATTCTTCAGGTTTGTACTTCTCTTTTATTAAATACTCTGCTTGGTTAGTAAAAGACTGTCTAAGTGGATTTTAACACTGTTAATTGTTGATTAACATCTCTAAGTGTTTGCCAAGTACCAAAGCCATTCTGTTGCTGTTTTGCAGGTGGCTGCATGCACATGAAATGTCCTCGCCCTCAGTGCAGATTTGAGTGGTGCTGGAACTGTGGCCTGGAGTGGAACAGAACCTGCATGGGAGATCACTGGTTTGACTAGTGGTGCTGAGGCCAGCCCATGTTACTGCTAAAGCTTGTTTTCATTGGGGCCAAATTCTGAACTTCTTGCTTAAACAAAATTCCCAGAGGTCTCAGGAACACAGAGTTCAAAATTTGGCCCAGTTTGTTGGGTTTTGCTTTCTTGCATATGCAGTCATACCAAAATCACGTTGAAGTTATGCCAAGGGTTTTAAATCCACTAAGTAAAAAGAATAATTGTTTTAATAGACAGAATTGCTCATCATGGTACAAAGTGCAGTAAATTACACCTTTCTGAAACTGTGCAGTCTGTCAGCACAGAGAGAAGACAGGGTTACCATGAGGAACTTTGCTTGATATTTATAGGCAGGAATCCGCAACTCTTACAAGAGAGATCAGCCTTGATATGTGTGTGTTTGAGTGCGTGAGTGTCAAGGAGGGTGGAGGATGTTCTCTGCATCAGCTTTTTTTTCTTTGACCACTCCTTTGCTCATTCAGCACAAATTTTGATTTTGAGGCAGTATTTCTTAACAGCTTTTTTGGCAGAGGGAAGACTGTGGCTCTTCAGTGTTTTCTCAGGATTCCTTCCTAACAGTCTTTCTGTAGAGGTCTTGCTTTCAAACCAAATTCTCATAGAAACATCCAGCTTTATTTGTGCTTGTGCATTTGTAACATGCAACACAAAACCTACCTACATGCTCATTATAGACTTTGCTACCATTGAAAGGTTAGCTAAGGATGCAGTTTCAGCTCTAACCGTGACTGCTGTTGCAGTGGTGACTGGATCTGATTAAGTGTTGTGCAAGCTGGACTCACAGGGCTTCACTTTTTTTCTGCTTACAGCAATACTTTAGGCATGGCAAGGGGAAGCAGGAGGAGACTTCTCAGGGCTTTTCTGTATCATCATTCTCCTAAACTGAACTAGAATATGGGTATACTTCTGAAAATTAATTTACAGCTCAAACAGTGTGGGGCAGAGGGACATCTTTCATTTTACAATGTTAACACAGTAAGTAAAGTTTACTAACATTTCCAAGCCTGAACCATCTTACTGTTTGGTGTGCTTTACATTGCAGTCTTATTCTGAAATGAAATGGGTACTGTCCACATCTAACATGCCGTGTAAGGATTTGCACAATTCAGTTTTGGAAAAAATACACAATAAATAAAGCTGTCAAAATTTTAAACTTCATTTATTTGTTCATTTGAATACAAAGTAAGTGAGTACAAAGATGTTGGGCGGGTCATGCTTTTCCTTGACTGATTCAGACTCCCAGCTGAGAGGCTAGCCCTTTGATTAAAACATACTATTAGCACAAAATAAATTTGAGGGCCCTGGACTTCTTTTATCCTGTTCAAATTAATATTTTGTACGGCATGACTCTAGAGTCCTGAAAATATGGGTGTGCCTCACATCAGTCAGTGCAGAGCAAGAAGCTTGAGGTATAAAGAAATCCCAGGCTCACTACAAAAATGTCCAATTGCTAAAAGCAGTGGAGTACTCATCTGTCTCAGCTGGAAGCAACATTAAAAGTCTGAGGAAGCAAAGGGATGAAAGCATGAGGTACCAAAAATGAGAGAGTGAACTGAGGATTAAGAAAATGAGAGAGGAAGTGGCAACAGGAGGACAATGGCCATTTCTCAAAGGCCATTTTCCTTTTTGGCACTGGTGAACTAAAATGTATGCAGAAGTAGCTACATTAAAGTGCAGGCATGCACTGTAGCTCGTTTAAGTACATTATCTTAATGGGTATATTTTACTGTGAGCTCTGATTATTTCATGATTTGATTTCCTATACCTGGGTCTATTTATATGGCTTGTTGCCAACACACTAAGGAAAAAATCACAATGCTTAATTTTACTTTGATAGTGTGTTACATGGGAGCTCATCACTATATGTCCTATCCACAAGCATTTGGAATAAAAGAAGTCTAAATTTCTTTCCCATTTTTTTAGCATCTTTCTAGAAGTTAATAAAGACATTTTTTTCCTCTAAAGAGGAAGAAAAACTTGTTTATGTAAGGCAGTTTCATTGAGCTAGAGCCTGCCCTAACAAGTTAATGTTTTAATTGTCACGTAGAAACATGTAATTTATGCCCGTGGATCGAGGTCCATTGAAGTCAATGGACTGTAGATCAGCTCCCGTATTTCTTTCTGGCCTGGGCATGACATGGCAGGTGTGAGTCATAAGGCTAGAATAGAAACATCTCTTTCTTGGGAAGAACTTGTCAGAGGATGGGATTACGACCATTCATCTGAGACAGAAACAAGGGCATGAAAGGAGAATAAAGAATGGAGCTCCTGCACTTACTTGAGATTACCTACTTTTAGAGAATTGCTTTATAGGGCCCTTGTCACTTAGGGTTTCTTCACACAGTCCAGATTTACACTCCAACAAAAAAAAAAAAAAAAAAAAAAAAAAAAAAAAAAAAAAAGTGTGTTCTGCTGATTTTAATAGAACATGTCCTGATGTTCTCTGTGTTAATACATATACATCTGTATAAATACATGCACAAAGTTTGAGATGGTATAGGTTGTAAACCTGACTTCTGTTTATAGTGAGATTCTCATAGTTTCCACAATTTAAAGGGCATGAAAAATCAGGATTAATGCTCTGCTGACACTGTAAGAATGCTGGAATTCCTATAGTGATGTGTGAATTTGACTGATAATTTGTTTTTGCATGGAAAATACCTTTTGAAAAAATTCTAAAACGTAAAAAAAAAAAAAAATCTCTAATTGATACTGTAATTCAAAACAAAACAGAACAAACCAAGTCTTCAGTGTCTGTTTAGACTGTTCCTCTTATTTCAGCTCTGAAATATCAGAGTGGAATTCATTTTACCCAACTTTAGCTATCTAGTTGGTTCGGTAGCCTCAGAGGCTCACGCAGAGACCTGTTGTGCATGTGGATGGTGGGGCCTGCTGAGTTTTAAGTAAAATTGGTCATGGCTAAAGGCATGATGGCAACATCCCTGCCAGAGGCAGAGTGCAGCTCCTGACAGGACAAACAGGACTGCAGAGCGCCCACATACTCTTGGCTCTGTTGTTGGCATGGAGAGGGGAGTTTTCCTTTTTTTAAAACTTATGAACTGGCGTAGCTTGCTAGCATCCATGAAGCCAGCCTTGGCAAATGCTTCCTCTGGGTCAGCTCGCATGTCTCTGGAAGTGGTCCTGGACAGCCATGGGGGTAATGAGAGAAACAGGACTCAAGTAGGAAACGAGGGAAACCAATCTGAGGGCATAAACTGATGCAAAGTTTTCAAAAGCTTGTGGCTTTATGTTCTCTACGAGCAAATCACTCTGAAAACACTAAAATTTAACTATATGTTCTAAGAAGATGATTTATTACAGTGATATAAAGCAAAAGAGAAGTCTATATCTTTTTACGTCTAGGTTTGCCTTTGACAATTGAATTCTCTTTAACTCAAACCTTCTTCATCTTTCAGATTAAAACATTTACAGACTTGTTCTTTGTACTGCAATTTGGGCTCCTTTTAGCGTTAAATGGATTAAGTACAGGATGTATGCTGAAATATTCAATAATAATTATCTCTATAATAATTCAGCCCTATAACAACAATGAAAATCTCCAATATTTAATTCCAGCTGGCAGTGAAATCTGAATACCAAGTAGATTAAGAAGAAAATATATAACAGCTTGGCTCCCTCAGAAAAAAAACATATCTCAAAGGTTAGCATAAATAATATTTTGGGAGCCGTGACTTTGACTAAAATATCATTTATATGTCTGCATTATCTTGTCACAAACTGCAAGCCAAATAATTTTATTTTAAAATGTATGCTTAAAAAAAAAGATCAGTATATGGCACTCGAGAAGAAATATTACGCCATTGTTGGGAAATAAAAGTCACAGCAAGCAGTGGGGTTTTCTTTTTGCATATGAATAGTAAGTTACCATCTATAGTGCACACTGGTATGGTAGCAAAGCTTTTTGCCTACAGGTCTTATACATCATGTAAACTGAAGTAAAATTTGCATTTGTGGAGGGGAACCTGAGGGACTTGGAGGTGAGAGTCCATATTCCAATAGATTCTGCTGCCCTGGAAGACTGGGAGGATTTAGCCTGTTGTGCCAAACCTTCTCACACTTTGAGGTAACAACTGCTATGTTCCTCATGTTCACTGTGCTGCTCAAACCACTACACAAGAAAATTATTGGCTGCAGTAAACTCACTAAGCAACACTTTCAGCAAGGTAGGAAGGATAAAGCATACTATCAACTCCGAAGATTGGTTAGCCCCATACTGACTTATTTGATTCAGTGTTTGACTAGTATGGTGATGGTTGATCTAGAGGAACTACGCGGAGATGGAGAGCTGCAGTATAGCTCTTAACAACTAGATTTTGTTCCCAGGCAGCAAAATTCTCATGCTTCTTCTAGTTTCCCTTTAAGCAACAGAAAATCCTGAAGAAGACGGCACCGGACCAAAGCTGCCGGAAGGAAACCCCATGTCTAATTGTTCCTAATGGTCCTTCAGCAACTTCACCCAGCTGTCTCTCACAGCACAGCATTGACAGTGATTCAGCAAAAAGAGACAAATGTACTACTTCACATTTTATCTGACTTGATTACAGTTTGTAACGAAATATTTCTATCTCTATTTAGCAAATGCAGAAAAACACCTCTTTTTTTCCAAACATGGTTGCTTACTGTTTAGTTGTGTATGTGTTTTTAAAGAAGAAACTGGTCTAGCAGTTTTCAACTTGACTGTCCAGGAACTACTAGAGTGCATACATCGAGTAGTCCCTTCTCATACTCTGGGTAAGTATGCAAAGACCAGAAAAGATGTAAATGGCTTTAAGCAAGTAGTAAGGTAGACAAGTTGAGAGAAGCTCATAATCATATGGAGAATCATATTTAATGTAGTGGTTTGTGTATCTACAGCGGGTTATTTTTTTTTTTTTTAAATCAGGTCATATGCCATTTCATTTTTCTTCATTATTATTAATAGTGCTTTTTTCTTTGCTTTTAATTTGTTCTTCTTGTCTGTGTCTCCATTTTTCTGAGTAATAGAGTAATGGTTCAATGCCAGTAGATAAAATATGCAGCAAGACGTCACCTGTTAGATTACTTTCTGGCTTTTATCCCTAGAAAGCTTGAGCTATCCACATAATCCATGTAGGCAGGGAAGTGCCATTATCTGTATTTTACAGTCAGGGAACTCAGGCCAGAGAGCACAACCAGACTACATGGAGGCAACAGCTCGAATGCACACCAGCCTTTTCCTCACAGCTGGGGAAATCTGTGGCTGCACCAAAGTGGCGGCCACCTGCGTGCCAACACAGTGGTAACATAAGCTCAGCAAAGCAGGAGGCAAGTTTTAAGTTTAAGGTCTGGAGGATACCGGTATGACATTAGGGACACAAAGAAATAGTAAAAAAAATAAGGTAGGATTTTTGGTGGCCTAAAGAACAGTGACCTAACCTGACTTCCTTTGCAACCACTGGGAATTTACCGCTGGCTTCACTGGGAGAAGGCTAATTTAGAGACTTTGAAAACACCATTTAGTTCAACTTTTTAGCAGTACATAGGAGATCTCTGAGAGAACTTGATGCCCCAGTTTCCTCTTTGTCTCTTTGTTAGTTGAATATTTCATCTACAAAACATTTTTATGCCCACTCTCTACATCTTGTTTTAGTGCAAACTAAAATCCATCAAGCACTGATGTCAAAATTGTTTAAAAGCCTTTAGTTAAGTACAGCTGAAACAACACAGTGTACACTCATTCTTACTTGGTATATGATTGCATTGTCTGCCTCATAAACAGTAATCTCGATAGCCTGCCAACTTCGTCTGCTGGTTACCACGCCAAAAACTGCTTGGATGAAGACCTTAGGTAATGATCAAAAGATCGTGCTAAAATTAAAAGCAACAATCAATAAAATGAAATAGTATTCAGACACTACTTCTGTTGGGGTCAATATGTTTTTCTTGGAATGGATGCTAAATGCTCCTGAATAGGTTCAGCCAACTGAGTTTGTTTATGCCTGGAAGCTAAACCTGGCAAGTCCTGCACTGTTCTTTTCCAAAGTAAAGAAATCACAATATGGTAAAGGGTTTTAAATTCTTTTAATGAATAACTGAAGTCTATGTGTTCCACAGCTGATGGAGTTAAAAACCAGAAAACCAGAAAACTACCTCACTAAGCTGTGCTGACATTTTTCAAGTGCTCAGTGATACAAGGAATGCCAGATTTGCTTTTTTAAAAAAAATCTGCTTCTCAAAGGCAAAAATGACTGTGATATTTACATTAAAATCAATCAGTTAATGAAGCTGAAATCAATTCTGATTTGAGCTTGTAAGTTTTGGTGGTGATGTAACTGAATCTAACACTATACCAAAATGTTACTCAGGCTTTGCTTAGCAAATATTAAGATGCTTATTAGCTGAGCTGCAATCACTCAGGTCCTTATTTTATTGCATAAGTATAGATATCAAGGCCTCATTCTGTTGGATTTTACAGAAAGCAAAGATAAGCTTCAAACCAGTGCTAGCAATAAACTCCTTTGTGGTAGGATATCTTCTCCTGAACTAGTAATCTCTTCTCGTGTGACATTTACTGTGCACAAGTTAAAAACAATCAGTGGCATTTCATTTTTAGTCCTCTTTATTGTGTAAACTTGAGGGTAGAATTGAATAAATAAAAATATAAAGTCAAGTCTACAGAACAGAAAGCCTACTTTTCTTGCTGTTCCAGTACAGCTATACCACAGACCTACCCGAAACAGTATACCAGCTTGGTAGACCACTGTGGTACACAAAATAAGCTGTAGATCAGCAAATTTACATATTTATTTATACCATTATATTGCACGATTTTTTAAAGACCTTTGCCATTCTAGGGAAGCCAGAAGCCCCTTCCCTCCTCAGGAAGGGCTCATTCCAATAGATCCCTGCAATAAGCGATGGCTGCGGCAGTCCAACTGCTTGCACATAAACTGCATAATCATCTGTATGAGCTGGGGTACAGAATGCTCTCCTACTTGGAGTCTGATATTTATAAGTCCTTAGCTCCCACTCAGGAACACAAAAAACACCAGGTTGTCACAGGTTACCATCAGATGTACTTTGAAAGAAAAACACCTTCTTTTGATGTCTAAGCAAAGGTAGTGCACATACAGAAAAGAGAACAGCTGAAACTTTTTCTCTGATTCTGGATGCTGAACTGTATGGAGAAATCTGGCCCTGAGAAACTCTAAATCAAGAAGTATGCATCATCAAAAATGAAAAAAGTCCATGATTCAGAGCCCTTTGTAATGAGTGCACTCAGTGTCGTTTTTCTGTTACATTTCCAGCAAACAATATATACATTCTACTATTTTGCTAGTTTGTGTTTATTTAAACATTTGTATTAGATTGCAAAAGGCAATAGCAGAGCTTTAGCAAGTCTCCTATAAATGATGTATACTTATTATTATGCAGCACTGCTTGGTCCAAAGAAAAATGCTGTTTATTGTCTTTCACCCACCATGGAAGAGAGCACTGCTTTTACAAGCAGTAGGCCCTGACAGATAGGACGATCTTATGAGTTCCCTTCATATATGTTCCTACAGCATTGTGTTGGCCTACTCCCAAATGAAAATTCCAACTTCCAGAACTATTTGAACAATTATTTAATTGCTTGCAGGAAGAGAGAGAGATCCAGAAGATTTTCGTATTAATGCAGTCATTGTCCCAGATCCAGCAGCTTCCTTTGCTAGTCACTGGTATTACCAGATAGATTTCCATACCAGGAGGTTTTCCTGATGCCATCCAATTTCTTTCCCTTTCATATTGAGATCTCAGGAGTAAAAAGGTCTTGTTAGTTTGTTGTGTCCAGTCAACCATCCCAGGCACCTTGTTATGTAAGTCTTTCCATAAATTTAGAGAGTGCTGTGGCAAGCAATTTTTAAGTCCCATTTGCTTTCATGGCAAGGCAATTCTGGAATCTGATTCCAGCTGATAACAATAAGAAATCTTTTCATTCCAAGGTATTAATGATCACCTTATAATTATTTATCATGATATCAATATTGTTTGTAAACTTAAGATTTTCTTTTCCAAGCTTATATTTCCTAGCCCCTTTGTTCCCTGACTGGACAGAGTGGAGAGCAATCATATTTCCACTCCATTTGTTTTATGAGGCTTAATAGGCCAAGCTTAAAGGCTTGGATCAACATTTCTCTAAACATCCTACAATTGAGTTATTCCAATTTTACTTTACCTTTTTTCAAGTACGAGTGACAGACTTTTCCATATGACGGCAGGCATGGTTGGACTAATGCTTTCTGTCACATTCATGCCTCCGTGTCTCTGTTGGGGACACTTCTGACATATGCCAAGATCACAACACATTGTTCACAGACACATTATGCTGGCAATTCATAATCATCCCAGGATGGTCTGCCTCACCCAAAGCCTTCTTCACCTTGTTTCCAAATGATGCGTTTCCAATTTATGAGGTGTCTACTCTCTCTTTCTGAATATTTTTCTCAGTTTTTGCATTTCTACAGCACTAGCTGGCTGCTGCTGGTCATCTCAGGATACAAGCAAGTTTCTACAAAGTGAGCAAGTACAGGAACATCCTTTGGTAATCATCCCTGTAAATGTTTGTATTCTGTTATAAACTTTTTTTCCCAAGTACTAGAAGAACATTTTTTTACTACTGTACAGTACTGTAAATCTGCTATGTTCAATGAATCTGGGAGCTTGATTGGTTTGATTACCTCCAGTTTGGTAACTTATTTAATTGTTTGACAAATGTGTTTCAGTTCTTTATGCTCAAGGTTCATCTATACTGCGATCAGCAGACTTCATGTAGATGTGGATTAATGTAGTGGGTTGACCCTGGGCAGCAACTAAGTACCCACCCAAATGTTCACTCACTCCCACACTCAGCAGGGTCAGGGAGAAACTAGGAAGAGCAAAAGCAAGAAAAAAACTCATGGGTCAAGATAAAGACAGTTTAATAACTGAAGGAAATAAAAATATAATAGTGATACAAAAGCACTCACTCACCACCTCCCACAAGCAGATGGATGCCCAGCCAGTCTGCTAGCAATGGTGACTTTAGGAAGAGACCCTCCCAGGTTTTATTGCTGGGCATGATGTTATATGACATGGAATATTGCCTTGGTCAATCCGGGTCAGCTGCCCCAGCTGTGTTCCAGCCTCTTGCCTACCCCCAGCCTACTGACTGCAGGGACAGAGTGGAAAAAACAGAAAGCCTTGATGCCATGCAAGAACTGCTCAGCAGCAGATAAAACACGAATGTGTCATCAACTCTGTTTTAGTCACAAATCCAAACACAGCACTATACAGGCTTCTATGAAGAAAATTAAGCCTGTACCAGCCAGACCGGGTACAAAGAGCTTGCTTTAAACCAGCTGGATCAGGATACTGCTACACATGTGGTCATGGAAGCACGAAATACCTTCTGCCTTGTTGTTCCTAACTGCTCTGATGCCTAACAAGGGTTGAACCCATGACGAAACATTTTTCTCAGTGTGAGTGTTAACAGTTTTTTCTGTACTTAACTGGCAACCTATTTTCATAAATTTAGTATATCTGAGATCTTTTTGTCTTGCCAAAATCTGGTTGAAATTGGCTAACATTAAAAATCTTCAGACAGACAGATTTGGACAGCAAGTAAGTGCGGCTAAAACCCAAATAGCTACATTAAATTCTCACGGAGCTACTAGCAAGTGTGGACTAAAGTCAGAGAGAGGAAGCTAAGCAGGCTAAACAGCCTCACTGCATCATTAAATGATGGCTACACCAAGCATTAAACATTCCCCAGTCCAGTCTTAATTTCTACTTTAAATTGAGAACAGAATTTCTCCGTTTACTTAAGGTGAAAAGTATTGCATAAATTTGGATAGGTGCCTGTGATAAATGGATTAATTCTGCTCCCCCCTCCTCCCCCCCCTCTTTTGGGGCTGTACAGGAAGCACGAAAAAGTCTGTTGGATTCAACCTAAAAGCTGGGCCTTGTCCTGTGGTGTTATTGGGTGTTGTTTCTACTGACTCATGTGGAGAATGAGGTTGGCATTAATTAAATCACATCAGTGATGAAAATTGCAGAAATTATCTGTTTCATTTTCCCCAAGTGTCTGCCTCTCTCTCTCGTGACTACAAATGAAGCAACCACACTCCTAACTCGGGTATCTCAGTTAAATATCTCAAACTGGCAGGATGACATCAGCAGCAGCCAGCCTGCTTTTGGCTACTATTTAAAGATCACCAGGGCACAGGCAGCACAGCCCCCAGCTTACCCTGGAGGACTTTCAAGTCACACCTGAACTTTCTTCTGTGGTGGCAGCAGCCCACTGACATATGGATTATGGAACCAACCTTCTCACTCCATGCAGCTTCAGAGCATGCAACACTGGAGAGACAGGAGGAAAGACACTAAGGTGGCTGTCGTTGATCTTGATTTTCAGTCTGCCAGATTCCAGGCTGGGCCCAGGTTATCAGTAATGAGGGAATAGGAAGAGTTTTCCAGAGTGCATTATAATGGCTCTTCATCAGTAAGTGCCAGTGTTTAAAATAATGCCACATAATCACACCCTTATATTTTCCTACTTAATTTAACATCACATGGGGGTCTTTTGAAAGTACGTTTTGCTTCTTTTTTTATTGAACTCATTGTACTTTGGTGATTGGCAGAATGTAAACTATATTGTTAGACAGTAACTTTTTTTTAATTTAAATAGGAAACATTTTTGAAGAGCTTTTTTCACTCTTTATTGCAGTATCTAAGAAACCTAAAGTTAAAATGGGATTTAGTCTTCTCTGCCATTTATGCACTTTTGAACATTTTCCCCAGAATTAGTTTTGTCTTATATCACCTAATAGGGATTAAATAAATTGCATTCTATAGACATAGAGCAGAATATAAAGAAGGTATGGTTTTATCTCCGATATATGCTTCTTGGAACATATACTACTCTATAGCACGGATAGAGCTTTCATTTCTTTCTGTAAGAAGGAATAAAAAAACTCCTAAACTCTTTTACAGGACCTTTTTTTTTTTTTTTTCAGAAAGAAAACAAAAATAAAACACTTCACTGATCAGAAAATTATTTGAAAACACATATAACATTTTATCAAACTGCTTAGTTTGGGAAAACCCAGCAGCAATTGTCAACACCACCAGGTAAGTGGCCTCAGTGCATATTCTCTTGAAGAGAGCAATGGCTGGTCAGAAACCATTTCTTTAAAATATGGTTTAATGTTTCTGGGGACTCTGAGACTTCCATACGCTGAGAGCAAACATCATAATATTTAAATTTTCTCACTTAGCTATAGATCCTGTGCAGTTCATTTATGTCCTACTTCAGTGAGAAAGGAAAAAGTAAGTTTTTTATGTACAACCTTATCTCTTTGTTACTTCCTAATTCCATTGTGAATCTTGCATTGCAGACTTAATAAATCATGGTATCATATGCCTCCTGAACTACCACAATTACCACTTAGGTCAGAATTAATCAAAAAAAAAGTAGTCTTTGTAACAACAAATAAACTTTGTTATAAACACATCAACCAACACAGGAAGTCAGAAACATGTCATATATGCATCCTGACCGGCCTCTGATGACTTGTTTGGCCTCAAGCAAAATGCATTAAGGTGAACTCGCAGAACTCTGTCAGGATTATTCTGTGACAAAATAACATCTTCTGTAGTAAACTGCTGAGGAGCAACAGTTGCTCCAAATATAATTCAATATTTCTCATTTAATAGAAAAAAAAATACAAGCAAACAAACCCTAATAGATGTTTCTGCTTCAGTTTTAGCTTCCTATTATCTTAAATAGACAAAGCAAGCATGTTGTAATTTCACCAAGAACTGAGTCTTGAAGAGCGAGCAGTGGTAGGAAATTTCAATTTGAAAGCTGAAATTTTTCTAGGGTTATATGCCACTGGAAGTGCTTTGATATAAAGGAAAGTATTAAGCATGCTTTTCCCTTTTGCTGTTAAAATCTCTTATATCCTGACTCTGTAGTTTTCATTAATTACAATAGTAGCTGTTATATCTAGGGGACAATGTTTTGACCCTGTACACTCAAATGTCTGGGTTATCAAATGTCCTGTATTATAGTACAGAGGAAGTTGTTCAGTAGGATGATAAAACAATTTTATCCTTTTTCCTCTGCCGCTGTTTCAGGCTGCCTCTGCATACTTCAGTCTCTGCCAGCCAGGAGTGCCATGCATTACAACTGAAAGAGGCTGCAAATGAGGATTTATGTGACTAGAAACTGTACACAAGGTAATGGAAAAACTGCATTTACAGAACAAAATTTGGACTTAATGACACACCCTTCTTGTTCATAATCCAGATTCCTCCTCTCTGAACTTGATATCAAGTTCATTCTACATTTCTCTGGTGAGAATCTAACTCATCCCAGATGAAGGCCATCATGTTCCCACATACCCTTCTGGTGCAAGGGGGGCATTTAGAAGAAGCACAAATGCTGACTGTAAATCAAGCGTGACTTTTCTTTCTTTTTTCTGAAGAGCAGCACTAGCAATCATGAAGGAAGTTACTCACTGCTTAGGGTAAAGATGACAGGATCAGACTCATGCTCCTGGCCTCACTTCACAGATGAGTTGTGAAAATAAACTTGACACTGTAACAGTCAGTACCATTAAAAATGCCCACAGGGGCTTAAACAACACCCAATAAATACTAGCTTCTGTTGCTGCCACACACATTGAATAAGGAAGATATATAACTTCTCATTAAATAAGACCTTCTTGACTTTGCTCTGAATATGGGAAGGGGTCTGTGGAAAAAGAACTGGGCAGCCACATAGACTGAAACCTATGTAACATATGAAGACTCACAGAAGAAGCAGTAAATTTGCACAGGCCACTTTCATTCTGGCACTTCCATCTTCACGTGGTTGACTTTGCAACATATCTTTTGCTGTTTATGTGTGTGTGTAGCATATAAATCTAAACTGAAACAGTGCATTATCACACTTATTAGCTCTGCAAAGTTTGAAGTCTCATGCTGTAGCCACATTTTGCTACTCAGACTCATTTCAAGATCTGTTGCACTTCTGTGCCCTCTCTCCTCTCCTTAGGAGAGCTAACTATGAGAAATAAGTCACTGTACCTTCCATACCTTTCTGCATAGGTCCAATGTCAGTAAGGACCTTGGCAAATGTCCTCTGAAGAATTTTGCTGAAGTGGCTGAAGACACTACTATGCCTGCCTGCATGTCCTGCCCTTCTTCTGTTACTTGCCCTGCTCCAATGAACAGCTAGCACTGAGCCGTTCACCTTTGGGGGTGATTTTGCTGAAAACTTGGGCTATGCTTTGGAGCAGTTAAGACACAGGCACATGTTGCTCCATTGCCTTCTACAGGATCAATAACCCAAGAGGGTAGGAAGGACAGCAAGGAGACCAATAATACCTGAAAGTACCCCTGAGAGATTTTCCAGGGTCTGTTGGCTAAAAAGCCCATTAGCTATGTTGGTAAAGCACAGTTAAAGGGCCACAGTCTCCTCTAGTGTAAACCAGTACCTAGTGTCATGGAAACTCACGGAGCTACACCAGCTTTACACCAGTTAACCAGTTATACCTGTTCATAGTTCATGCCCTGATAAATATTTAGCCAGCAGAAGGCAAGGTTCCCTACACTCTACACTGACCAGATGCATGCTAGGTCAGGGCATAGCTTCCTCTCTACAAAGCTGCAGATCCATCCTATTCCCACCTGCCCCCAATCACCCCAAACAGAGCTGCCACAACTTTCAAAGTGATTTACAGTCACTCAGGTAGCAAGCTAAATGCAACATTAAGGAATTCAATTCTTGTCTAATTAAGACATGCAATCAGCTGGTCCACAGACACTTAAGGATCTTCTTAATAATGCTATTTTTATCAGCTTGAGTGCCAGACACTGTAGTGCGAGGTGATCATTAGTGCTGATATTTGAAGTCAGGAAAGTTTTAGCTTACTGTATTTTCCCTCATGAACATTTGCTCTCAGCTAACCCACTCCCTCTGCCATTACTGTGCTGGTTCCCATTTGCTGCTAGCATCCAATATAAAGTAATTTGCTGTAAATTACTTTAAAAGTACTGATGGCTGTACTTCCCTAAATATGCTTTTAATAACCAGCTTCTAGGCACAATTTTAGGATACAGGGAAGTAAAAGAAAAAAAAAAAAAAAAAAAAAGAACAAACTTGTATTGCTTTTAAGTGAAATAATTTGGGAAAGGTTTTCAAAAGCTACTTTCCTGTGGGAAGATGCATGTTGTCTATTTTCTTGCCTTTATTTCCTAATTCAGAAATGGCTTTTTGGTTCCCAAAGATATTTATAATAAAATGGTTTATCTATAAAATTAAACAACTTCTTCTGCTCAAGCCTGTCACTTGTTCCCTCCCTGCAGCTGTGGAGTATTACTAGTAATATTTTAGCAGTTCTTACAAAGCCTTATTGTGCTTCATATTGTCTAGCATTATAGCAAAAGAAGACTGTTCGTACCCTTAAGGTGTCATGACCCAGGTAGCTGGTATTTCTTCCCTCCCACCCCCTCTTGTAAGCTCCACTGTAGTAACAGAGCAGCAGTCAGAGGGCAAACTACTCTTGGGGACATATCATATTCCCACAAGGTCCTATTCCATTAAGAAAAGAGCTGAAACTTGATGGCAAAATCCAGAAAATGCTATGAAGGCAGCTGGACCCCTCCGGCTATGACACACTGATTCAGCACATGAGCCCAGGAACCTGTTTTGGCTGTGGGATGAAGTGTGCCCCTCTATGCAGAAGTCTGTACCACAGGGTTGTGCAAAGCTCACATTTTTTCTCACATGATGGAGACTCCTGCACACACAGGGCAGTGCTGTTTGAAAGTCCATACGTTTAGGTGAGTGAATGTAACACTGGCTATAAGATCCTTACGCTGCACAAAACTGAGCACTGGCAAATCCCTTTGTCTTTGTAAAAGCTTTGTTAAGTGGATTTTGGGAAAGTCCCCTTGGCATGATTCAGTGCAGGAGGGAGGGTCTAATTAGGATTGCAATGGGTTGACCAATGACAATGCATAGGATTTCTTTTTGGAGTTAATTTCTTTGCTGAAAAAATGTATTTGAAGTAAGAGAGAAAAAAAGTATTTCATACCTGCCAGGTAGAAAGATTTCCCTCTGGCAAAAGACTTTTTAATTAGTTGTCATGATGGTATCACACTGCCTGATGTAGGTCTTGTAACAGTGCTAGAGTGAGGTGGAGATTTTTCAGCCATGGGTTTTGGAATTCTATTATCTGTGTTGAAATAAACACTGAATTTTTTTTTTTTTTTGATTGTTTGTGATTCCCCTTATGAAGAAAAAAAGACATGAAAAGAAGACAAAAAGACAGAAGGGACATTTACAATGTATAAACAAACTCAGACTACTAGGTCATTGGTGTCTCAAATGCTACAACTCATTGGGGGTGGCAAGAGAAAGCAATGCTTAGGGAGTCAGCTGCAGCCATCTGTCACCAAGGAGCAGCTGGTGATGAGATGCTGTTATTAATGAACTGGGATTGCTCAGTCCTGTAGATTTACTGCAGTTAGTGTAGCCAATTCTGATTCATGCTACCATTATGGCTACCTTGCCTGGGAGGCAGAAGGTTTTTTTGGTAGTATTGATAATACTTGGGACACCTGTGCTTCAAAAAAGGTGTGAAAAACAGTAGATTCAGAATACTTATGTAGACTGTTTTGTGGCTGAACTGGCAGGCAACTAACTGACAGATCCCAGAGCTCAGTTTCCCGGGCTAGCAATTCTTAGTCACCTGGGAGTTGGTGAGTAGGAAATTACATGAGCTATGTTATTCAGATTGGAAAAAAATGTGAATCAGTGGCATTTGTAGGATTAATAACATACTGCTAGCATGGAAGTGAGCATATGAATAAGACACTGTCTAATCACTCTGAGAATGGTTTTGCTAAACCTGTAGCTACATCAAACGGCTGGGGGTGAGCTCGCAGATCCAGCAGCTGGTAAGGACATGGGCTCACCAGGCTGCATGTGTGCATAACAAGCCTTTTTTTTTTTTTTGTTTACATTCATGGCTTGAGCTCAGGGGCACCTGAACTCCTGTCGTAAATGACAGTAGGATGACATTAAGGATTCTCTGCAGAGCAATAGATGTCTCAACACCAATCCAGGTCCTTCGGCCCAATCAGTTTTCAATATATCACACAAAAAATTATCTGACGTGTACTTCCCTCAACTTTGGTACTTCTGTATTTCCTACTCCATTTTCCATAAAACTGCATTGTTGATGTTCTTATGCCTTCTTCTAATACAAACACGTGCTTAGTCAAAGCAATTCTGATCCTGGGCTATAGAGTCGATCTTTCTCAGAAAACAGTCCGTTCTGTGTACTGTATGCAACAGTTTTCATGAGGGATTATCTAAACTTGAGGCTAGGCCACTCATCTGACACAAGGTCCTGAGTGTTTGAGACCCATTTGTGAAGTAGGCAGCGCTCTGAGGAGGTCTTGTCTGATGACTGTTCTAAGGTACTGCCTTAGTACCTTAGTACCAGGTTTAGGTGGCCATCTGCAGGATGTTTGCCTCTCCAGGGCCAAGTGGGAAAATTGCCCAATTTCTGGCTAGGCCATTTTGGCATTTAGCCATAAGGTCGCTTATCACAGTTTCCTACTGGAGAGGCATTTGGAGTAGGGCCTTTGCCTCAGGCTTGAAGAAAGTATTAAATTGGTGACAAGGGACCCAGCAGACTCAGGCAATCCAATGCCCAAGGAACCTGAGAACTGGTTTCAGGATAGCCTGCCAATGGTTTGTAAGAGGTTGTTAATTACTATCTATTGCAGTGATTTTTCCAAAGGAAGTGGATTGCAAATTCACAACTGCAATTTCACATAGATCACAAAGTAGTTGCCTGAATAAACAGCCTTTGATTCACCACCAACTTTTGCTGGATCCAGACTTCCAACTATCCCCACACACTGTTGTCACACCCCTAGCTATCCCCTAGGCCTCCAGCTTTCCACAGAATCAAAGAATAGACAGGAAGAAGATATGATGGGGCAACTTGTGCCGTGAAGCAAAGGTGGAAGGGCTGATTTCTAGTGTACAAAGAGAATTAGGGCCCTTATAGTGAAACAGTGCTGGGGCTCGCTGTGATTCGTGCTGGAGGCCACGCTTAGGAGTGAGGTGGACAAGAATACAGGCAGCTGGAGGCAAAAGCAAGCTCTTACAGAAATGGCCTGACCTTTCATGTCTGACAGTGGTTATGGAGAGGCTCTGCATGGCACACTGGGTGGCACTGTTTTGGAAAGGGCAAAGGTGTGGCATCATCACTTAGTTGGCATCTACCAAAAGGCATCCCTGGATTACATGCCTTTCTTACATCTCTGGCAAATCCTTTTAAGTTTTGCCCCATGCAGAGTCTGCGGGACAGCAGGGCATGGTACAGAACTAGAACCAAAAAGGATAAATACTATAGTGAAGGATTCAAAGGTAAATAATTAGTAGTTGCCAGCAAAGCACCCAGAAAATCTTTCACATTGAGGCAATTTCACTTCAGAAAGTATAACATTACCCTTTCAACAGTGTTTTCTTTCCATTACAGCCTGTCTTAAGAGCATTGTGGTGTTTGAAATAGCCTGAGTGCTATCAGGCCTGGGCTTCTAAGAACCACTCTGTCATTTTTCTCACAGGTGTCCAGTCTGCTTTCCATTTCCTGGATCCTTTTCTTTTTGAGTGACTACTACTGAGGGGTGATCAGATGTCTTCATGAGATTTCGAGCTATTTTATGTAGAAACATTCCTGTCTTGAGGTTTTCATGCCCTCTTAAGAGTTTTATATCCAGGAACTATTTTCCTTTTCTCTGGAACTTAGTATTTTTCTTAATACAGCATCCTTATGCAATAGCCAGTTCTGGATCTGTGTCTGCATCCACTGAAATCAATAAAATGCCACTGGGAACAAGATCAGGCCAAACCATAGAAAACAAAGAACTAAGGGGTAAAGGCAGGAGACCTGACCCCTGCTGTGACATTGGAAATATGTAGGTTCCCAAGACAACAGCTTCAGAGGGGGAGAAAGATTAACTGGAAGAAATTAGAAGTAGTGTCCTGTACGCTTTTCACCCAGGACAAAGACTTGCTCTATTTAGTTGGATAAGGCAGTCTAAATGTACAGTGTACTGTATTTTTTCCAGTGGTATCACAGGTATTTGGCAGCCCAAGGCACAACCAATACAAAATCTTACGATTCTTTCATCCTTTTTCTCTAAGTCCTGAGCTTCTAATGCTGTTTGTCTCTGTATCCCTTATCATGTCTTATGCAATCTGTTTCTGCAATTTAGTATCAAAGATGTTGTCACAAATTTTTTCATTCCTTAATGTGCATAATAAACATTTACAAGAACTGTAAGTATTCGGCTTTTACCCAATTACCTTGCAGCTAATGCCTTTTTATTTAAAAATCCATTTTATCAACCACCAGCTTATTTTAAGAAAGCAAGCACCAGTACAGAATACCAGTTATCTCCTTTTTTGAGGGGCCAAATTTGCTCATACTGAGTATCTCTGTCTATAAGGTGTATCACTAAATTCAACTCTTGAGTCTTCAAGAACCGTATTTCCCAGAATATCTCTAAAGTGTGGGGTCTTTACAAATTAGTGGGCTCTACTAAAGTATACAGAATAAAATTTGACACAAATCTGTTCTTCAAATACATCAGATTGCAGAAAAAATTAAAAAAAATATATATCCATCATCCATATAAAGACTGCTGTAGAGTGGATATTTCCTGCCACCTAACCAGGTTTTATCCCATAATTTTCTTGGGAAATAGCTCCCTGATGTTCCCTTCAGATAAAGCAGTCTTTACAAAAGTAGCATATAAGAGAACACTGGATAGTGACTGCAACAGCTGATCAAATTGAGAGTTGTGTCCTGTGTTGTGTTTCCAGTACGGACAGTGTGGTGCGAGGTTGGTGAGAGGAGCTGCTGCAGGCAGCACATTCTTCAGTGAGCAAAGTCTAAAGATGAGTATTTTGCCTGCTGCTTCTTACATTTTTTTTTTTTTTTAAGTGACCTTTCGTGTAATTGAAAAAACAGATTTTCAAATGATAAGTTCAATGTAAATTTGGCAAAGGAACTAGAGTTGGTCCCTGCCAGAATGAAAATGAACGCTTTAAGTGTGGCTTAAAGCTGCTGTCTTTTATGGGCAGGGTGAGCATGCAGGTATCCACAGGGTTAGGACACAGCTACACCATTCATTACAAGGTAGATGAAACAGCACACACTTACTGCACAGATTGCCATTTTTTGTAAAGTTGTGAAAGTTCAAAATGGCAGGGTCATGTAGCTCACCTCTATGCATTATTGCAACATAAAACAGCCTTGTCCTCCTCATACTGAAATAATTGTTTCCTCTTGCAGGTGAGGAAATGTGCATACACAAGCAAAAAGAATGGTTGTGTGGATTTGTTTCTGACTGTCAGTGCCTGTGTAACTATATATGCAGATTAGGTATTGCCCTTGAAGACCTGGAGACCAGCCAGTGTGCCTCTTCCCTGGTAAACTTGATGTAAACAGAGTTATGCATCAGTAGTGTTTGTTATTACAGCATCTGAGCTACTCCAGCTTCCAAGTCATTCAGACCAAGGTGTTTTTCTATAGTTTCTCATCTGTGCTTCTGGAAGAGTGGCAGTTTCTCAAGTACCCTTTAAACAGCACTTAACCTTTGCAGCTCCAAAGTGATCTTGCCTCTAAGATCTTAGAGGGATTTCACACCCTGCCACGTCCCCCCCCATCGATGACCATGACAGTAACAGATGTTGGCATCTCTGTGTTCCCAAGGTGACACTGAAGCCCTCACCATTTTGTCACTCTCTAAACCGTGTTTGATCAAAGCTGCAAGATTTCCTCCTGCCATGGTGGGGGTGGATGTGTGTGTGCATGTTCATGCACTTGTGTAAAATGTCTTCTGTCATCTGTACATACAGGTGTCTCTAAAGCCAGTCACCTGAGCCACCAAGATTGGGCCCAAAGTGGTCCATGCAGAAGTCTTCATTTTAATCAAGCTTTAAGAAAACAAGGAAAACAAATCTGTGGCGTTTTGTATTAGATACATGCGTAGAGAAAAACAAAAGCCCCTCTTCTCTTCATAGTTGAATACTTAAAACAGTCATGGAAATATTTGCACATGTGTAAGGAGTGCTTATTTTGTGGATGTCAGTAGATGTGAAAATATTTGGTGCAATTCTGCAAAGAGTAATTTGGAAAACTTTTTGTGTGGTATGATCCTCTGTATTTATTAAAGGAATGGTATTCTTTACAAATTATAAATGCACCGTAACTGATTACTAGCCATGGACTTGTTGCAGACAATGAAGCGTGCTGAAAGAAGAAAGAGGTTAAAAGAAACATATGTATGTTTTCTGCATCTCAGCCAGTATTGCTTCTGTTAAGTACTAGACTTTGTAAAGGGTCAAACTGGACAGTGTGGATCTTAAATTCCTGTAACGCATCTCACAGGTCTTTTGCTAGTGCTTATTCAATTAAAGAATGAGTCTATTCTAAAATTAACTGTGGCCCCAGAGTTTAGCTTTAATGGGATGTTTCCATTTGTGGGTACTGTGTGGCTTCTGCGCAGGGAAGTGGGGGTTTCTTTAAGAAAACAGTGAAACAACTGTATTGCTGAGGTAGAGGAGAAGCTGGCAGATGTCACAGTTAGGGTTAGTCTGCACTAGAAAAACTTGCCCAGAAATGCTAGTTACATGGGCTATGAGTGTGTGATTTTCACCACCACCCCACCTGCCATATTTAAACTGATACACCAGCATCTGTATTAGGACTTCTATCGTTACAACAATGCATTGTATCAGTACCTTTCATTTTTGGTCTCCGTATTTAAATAAACTGTTAGCATATATCAACCTATGGGCACATATTTTCATCTGGTTTCCTAAAGGAAAAAAATCATGCAGTCATGCTATACGCATCAATCCTTACAATAACTTTTGAACTTGTTAGCTGATTTTAATCAAGCCCAAAAAAGCAACAGAGATCTCAGACACAATTACTTTCCCACAGATTTCATAAAGACGGATAAGCCAAGTACAGGAAAGACTTCCTGTTACTGCCTGCATGGAGGGACAGCCTGCAGTTCAGCCTTTATTACACTCAACCTACACAGAAGAGGAACGTTATGAATGCTTTTAAATGCAGGAAATGTGTCTTTTATAATCTGCACCTTCTTAGATATTAGAGAATCTAACCATAAGACATACAGCAAGAGCAAACTGGGCTTCTTGAACCCAGCTGCTCATGGCAGCATACCATAGCGTTATCCCTATGTAGCACCCACCCTATCAGCCCAGCAACATCAACGCTACGGGTGCTGACTTTCTCTAGGCTGGCATAGCTAGAACCACAGAACTTTCCAGAACAGACAAGATTTTGCCTGCAATTAAATTTGTGAAATCAGATTCACAAGGCAATTAAAAGTGGATGTGGTGAGCAAGGTTGGGGTCCAGCTGTTAGAACTAGCAAGCAGTTAATTTCACTTCAGCCATGAGAAATACCGGGGTTCCTTACTGACTGGAGCATGTGCTTTGGTCAGCAGGAGTCTGGGGTTTTTTGTTTTGGGCTTTTTTAGTGTGTTTTGTTGTTGTGTTGTTGTTGCTGTGTTTGTGTTTTTTTTTTTGTTTGTTTTTTTTTTGTTTGTTTGTTTTTTTTTTTCTCTCTTACAGGGAGACTCATTGAGAGACACCCATTTCACACACAGTGAGATATGGCCCTTGGATAGCTGGGAGGAATCATTGCCTGGTGTAAGTTCCTGACTCAACTCTTGAGTCTCGCCCAATGCAAATAAGGTATTTGCATGCCCACAAGCAACAAAGAAAGAACTTGATTGGTGTTGCAAACACAAGCACTCAGAACAAGGAAATGCCAAAATTGAGACCTTGAAGAAACTTAATTTAGCTGCCTTTGGCCATATAGTGTAGGTTTTAGATGCTTTTTTTTTTTTTTTTTTTAATTAGCTGTACAAATCTTAATATACTCCATTCGGTGCTCTGGAGGGTAGAGTTTAAGAAAAGAGAAAGATAATCCAATTCCTTTGTATCCCCCTTGTTCATAGCACCTAAAAAAATACACAGTGAGAACCTCACAAACCTTGCTCTTCAATACAGAAGCATATTTTTGCTATAAGCTTTCCAGTCTGTCTTTACCATGGTATCTAACAACTTTGTAAAATCCGCAATTTAAATAAGAGGGGTTTATTATTCACAGTTTCCTAGTTAGACTTTTGAGAAATAGATGAACTTCATCAAAACTAGGATTTATCCCTCCACTGGAGTTTTCTCAGGTGTAAAGCATCCATAAATCCTGTTATATTCAGCTGCAGCTTAACACTAATGAAAGCAAGATGCCAGATTTTTATCATGGCTTCCCAGAAAATGAGGAACATACAAATAACCAGCTGCAGAGGGTTTGGTCCCAAGGCCAGATAAGTAGAAGTTGTTCAGGCACTACCACACTCAGCATTAGGGTGCCTGACTTTTGGATCCTTGGCTCTCAGGATAACACCTAGACCCTGAGTGAGATGCCTTGGAACAATATCCCAAAAATCTGTGTGTGCTACACAAAGCTGCCTAAAGTAGCTAGTATGGGATACTTAGGATATAGCTGTGCTACAAACCCAGCCACTTTCCAGAATCAAGTACCTCATTCAGGGAGTTCAGGTCTTTTCCCTCTGTCTGGAAGTGCCCACTTCTTAAAATGCAGCCACAGGACAAATCTTTTAAAGTATAGCTGGAGAAATACCCTCTACCAATCTTTCTCCATGTAACATTTGGCGGTTATACCACTGGCCTGAGGCTGTTAGTGAGCTGGATTCAACTCCTTCATGACTAAATGGGGAGAAGGTTGCCAAATTATGACCTCCTGAACACTTATCCACTCCACCAGCAAAGATCTGCCAGGGCCCTGATGGCACTGCTCTTAATGGCCCTGACCAGACCCACCTGAGACCCCCACCCACACACTCCGCCCACAGACCACTGCTCCTTTTTAGCCCAGGTCTGGGCCTTCAGTCTGTGCCTGAGCTATCTACTAGATAGATATACCTTCAGTTTGTTTTCCTGGGTGGATTCAGGTTGTAGCCTTATCTCCAGCTGAGGCTCGGCCTGCTGCTCCTGACTGGATTCCCTGCACCAGATTCCTTGCTTCACCTTGTCTACAACTGCTGGTGGACGCTGAGCCATGCTGTGACTGCTCTGTTCAGGTATTGTGGGGCAGTGCTCCAGCTAGTGGGAATACTGCCTGTGCTGTGATCACCCTCAGCTCCCGGTGCATCCTTCCTTGAGCAGCAGCCTTGCTCTTGCTGCTGCCTGAGAGAGCTGAGGTTTCTTGTCCTTCCCAAATGTTGTATTTTAGTCAGGACACTTCCATCTCACTCCCTAGAGAATGTCCTCCTCTGGTGACTAGCCTGGGAAGTCTTGTTTCTATCCTCATTCTGCCCCTGTAAAAGGCTTAGTACAACTTCCATAGTTCAGTATTTGCTTCAAGTCTTTTTAAAAAATAAAAATTTGCATTGAAGGTAAACAGTGATGCTATGTGGCTGTTATGGACCAGGACTGTAACCAGGCTCTGCTCCAGCCAACTTGTCCCCCCAGCCCCGGTGCAACCGCACACGCTGCAGAGCTGTCAGCGCTGTCCCAGCGGTGTGTGTCATCCCAGGCACTATCCCCTCCCAATGCTTCGGGTGTTTAATAGACTCAGTTCTTGCTATTCTCTATTCAGGGAAGCTGCTTTTCACCCCGCAGTCAGAGCCTGACAGCAAACGTTTGAGTTTCCACAGACAGCGAATGCTGTGTGTCAGGGCACTCTGTGCTTGGATGACTGCCACCCGCGTTTATTCCCCTTCCACAGCAGCCAGGCCGACGAGTTGGCATTCTGTTCGCCCATTTCAACTTCAAGGGGCAGATACTCACAGGTGCCCTTCACCCCGCGGCAGCCTGTCCCCCAGGAGGGCCTCCGTGCCGCCACAGCCCTGCTTGCCCCCACAAGGGATGACGAGCCGTCACAGCCCAGGCGCCGGCGGCCCTCAGGGGGACGGGGCGGGGGCTGCCCTGCGCCCCTCTCCCCGGGCCGACGCCTTCCCCTTCGTCCTCCTCCTCGGAGCCGGACACCCCACGCTCGCCAGCGGCGGAGCCCTCCCGCCGGGGGCAGAGCGAAGCCGGTGCGGGGAGGGGTCGCCCCTTCCCACCGCCCCGGGAGGAAGTGACATGGCGGCGGGGAGGGAAGGCGAGGGGCGCCCTTTTCTTCCCGGAGCCGCCCGGCGGGTGGAGCCTCGCGGCCCCGCCCGAGCCGGCCGCCTCCCGGCGCGTGCAAACTAGTGGCAGCCGGTGCGGCTCGGCTGCCGGCCCGCCCGCCCGCCGCCCGCTCCCGGCGCCTCAGCGCGGCACGCATGCCAAGGCCCGGCGGCGCCAGGTACGTGCTCTTCCCCGGGCGGCCGGCGAGCTCCTCAGGTGGGGGCCGCCCTTTCCCCAGCTGGCGTGGTTGACCCGCTTGGGAGGAAAAAAAAAAAAAAAAAACAAAAAAACAACCAACCAAAAAAAAAACCCCAACCCCGGCCCGGATCCCCCCCAGCCCCCTCTCCCCGAAACAGGCGCTCCCCGGAGTGCGGTAGCGGCGAGGCGAGGGGCCGGCGGGGTGTGCGGGCGCGGCGGGGCGGGAGGCGGGAGGCGGGCTGCGGACAGAAGTTCCCTGATTTATTCGCCGCTGGGCTGGGTCTCCCCCTGCCGCTGCTCGGCCCCATCGCGCCGTTTCTCTCGCGGCCGCCGAGAATTTTCCGGCTCCCCCCTTTGTGCGGCGACCGCGGCCCGCGCCGGGGTTTCCGTGGAAACGGCAGAGCTGCGGCGGCCTTACCCGGCCCTCCCCTCCCGCGGGCGGCGCGGGGCGCTGCCGGCCGGGCCGGGCCGGGCGGTCGCGGCCGCCCCTTCCACTTTCCTTTCGGTGTTGCCGTGTGGCGGCGGGGGGGGGGGGGGGGGGAAGCGCGGTTGCCGTGGAAACGGGCGGGTGCGATCGCCTGTTTGCTGCCGCCTCCCCGAAGGCGCTGCTCCGTGGCGAGGGGGCGCAGCGTGACCCGGCGTGGGGGGGACGTGCGGGTGCGGTGGGTGGCCGGGCCGAGGGGCCCGTGGGCTGCGGAGCGGGGCAGCCCGGCTCGTGCTGTAGGAGCTCTGCTTTCCAGCTCTCCGTGGCTCTTCATAAAAGATACTCACGCCGAAATAAATAATGGCCACAAACAGATTTGAGGTGTGTCGACTGTCATCACGCGGCGCAGGGAGAAGTCCACGGGGGGCATTGTTTAACTAAGAAGTAATCCTTTGTAGCATTTGTTTCAACAAGTGAGCGCTGACTCGCATGGCTGAAAAGACAACCGAGAAAAGAGTCTGAACAATGTCACACGGAGGCTCCTGATCTTTATCTTTGTTATGCATTTCTAAGAGTTGCAAGTGTTTCCAGACCACGTGCAAATAATCTGTGAGTGATGCGCCTTATGTAGGTGCTTGTGGGGGAGAGAGCAACCTTGCTGTTGCATGAGAACTGAAAATACTTTACAAAAGGTGGTAAGGATGCAAGAAACTCTTAAAATTAAAAAAAAAAAAAAAAAATAAAAAAAACCACCAACCACAAAAAACCATCCCCCAAGCATTTCTTTAAAAACAGTGATGAGTCCAGCCCAGGAAGTTGTACCAGGCAATTGTAGCCTCTGCTTGTACTGATAACCGCTTCACACTAAATTGCAAAACAATTAAAAGCTGGTGGAGTAGAGAATTCATTGTGGAACAACTTATACTGAAATTTGCAGCCTTCTTTCTTCTCTGACTTCTCATGTGAATTATAAGATTACTGTAGACACTCAGAGGTCTGCTAATAGTATGCCAGGACTATCTCTGTGTAAAGACTGGCTGCATGGATCCCTAGAATAGTTGATGTACTGTAAATGTTCGCAGTCGTTTACTGACCAGCAGCTTTCTCTAGCTGTTTGTGTCTGATATAATGCTGTGTTTTTCCAAATACTGTGGATTAAAATACATTTTGATTCATTTTAGGAATTTGTGTAAATATTATGCATAGCTTTGCTCTTTCCTATTGATGTTTTGCATAACAATGCCTGAATAAGCTGTATCTAAAAATGAAACTTTGACCATGCTTTATGGAAGACAGCCAGGATTCGTGTGGAAGAGTATATCAGAAAGCCTGCAATGAACAGAGGAACTATTGTGAGATGCTGATGGATAAATGTTGCTCTTAAGCAAAGTTTGGTGGTGGTGTTGGCAAGCACTTAAATAACAGATTTTAGTAAGCGCTTCACAAGAAGCTGTAAATGTTACATTTTAGGAGTGGAGAAACTGCACAGAGAGGTCAGCGCTTGCCCAGAGTCACAGGACAGAGAACGCTGTGCCCAGAGCACAGTAACTAACTGTGTTTCTTGAAACGCAGGTGTCAGTTTGGTGGTGAGGTTGTTTTTTCAGTAAGTCTTGCTCTGTCCAGCCAAAATCCAGAGGCACTGAAGCAGTGTTCATCTCCTCTCTGGAGTGAGGCATGCTTTTGTGGAGTGACGGTTGTACATCATTTACAGTTTAATGTACTTACTGTACCGTAACAGAGAAGAGCTCTGTAGGAGAAGGGTTCTCTTGCAGGTGATCAATGAGAATCTTATGACTGCGCTCTGCCCTACTGAAAAGAAATGGCTTATTGTTTTCTGTTGTATACCCTGATTTTATTGCTGAAAGGTGAAGACTGGAAATAATGCCTCTTGAAATCCCTTCGGTGCAGGAAGGCACTGTCACAGCTGAGGTTAGCAGGATATCGTTCTGGTCGCAAACATGCACTTATGGCCTCTAGAACTTGTATTAGTAATTTGGTCTTAAATTTTAAAAAGTCGAATGTCCGCTGTGTGATGTAAAAGAGCACTTCCCTAACTAATTGCATCACTACTACTGCTGTGGGTTTGTCCCGATAAGGATGCAGATGAACAAGGGGGCAACAACGCATTGTAGTGCACTGTGCGTGTGCTTTACTCAGAAAAAGATTTTGCAACTGTGGGCCTCCTTCATTAGTGAAAACGTTACGTGAATCAAGGCTGCTGTCTCCTCAGGTGTGTTTGATTTAGCTGTACTGAATGCAGTGGGATTTTTTTTGTAAGGGAACTAGAAATGTGTCTGAGAGCAGTACCCTGTATGCTTTGTTGCATCTCAGCACTGGTACATGGTAGCTGATGATATGTTTTTTCCCCAAGTGCTTTGACTGTGGGGTGGCTTTCCCCAGCGATTCAGTTTCAGGCGTTTGGGAAAGTTTGCCCACCCATCTGTTGTTTGGTGATCTTAAGCTCATTCACGTCTGACTCTATGGTGAGTACCCTGATCACCTCTGACTAATGCTCGTGTGCTGCTTGGAAACTGCTGACTCACTTCGTTTTCCTGCTTTTCCCCTCTCTTCTTCCAGTGCCTCAGACTAGAGATGTTGTAGGGTCAGGGTAAGGTCAGGGAAAGAGGAAATGGAAATGAATGAGAATACCTGTGTGTTGTGGCAAGGATGAAGATGCTGTAAAGACCCCTCTTTGACAATATGAGAAAAAGATGACGGCTGTAATGGATTTCCTAAAAAGGTACATAAACCATGCGTTAGGAACCGGGCAGAGCAGTCTAACAACTGTAGTGAGCCCACAGTTGGGAAATGCTGGGTTATGGTCCTGCTACTGGTCCGCTCTGCATTTTGAACTTAAAGCCTTTTACTTCTATGCCTCCGTTTTCACCATCAATCTGTCTTGTTATATTCTGCCACCAAGAGCTTAACACTGAAATCATTTTGTGCTGCTTGCAGAAGGGCTGACCTCGCTTGAGGTTTCTGCTGTAGCATAAATAGCAGGAACAGGGAAGACGATTAACCAGTTCTAGGCTGGAAAGAAGGCAGAGGTAGAGGTCACTGAGAGAGGGGGGTTTACTTGCCAGATGGTTAGGAGCTGCAGACAGAGGCAAGCACACTGATTTCACGTGCATGTGTGACTCTTTATTAACGTCTGAAAAACTGCTGATGTGCATCAGATTTCCTTTTAATCTGACCAACTAAGTTAAATTTAAATCACATTTTTTCCAGCAGGATTCAGGTGAATGAAAAGGTTTGCCTGTGCAGATTCATATGGCAGATTGTGCATGTTCTTTCACCTATCAGAGAAAGGGGAAGACCTTACTTAAAGCCGGCTGTTAAAGACAGGGAAAGAACATATTTGGGGGAAGTCTATGTGTAGAAATGGCACATGATTTTTAATCCATTTCAAGTGACAACTACTGTGTGAAAGTTAAACTGTGTCCTGCTCTCCCCTTGTCTCCACACTAGCCCTGTCTTCACACATCATAGTTTGCCTCTGGTTACCATGTTTTTTCAGCACTTTGGAAAATACCATTACTACAAATGCTACTTTGCACTTCTGGAAGGTCTGGAAGCATTCTGTCTGCAGCAGTCTACACCTGCACTTGAATCATTTATGAGATTTTACCCTTCAAGTCACAGGTGGTTTGTCAGGACTTAGCAAGCTTTAGTTTATTTTATGGTTCTGAGGATATGCTTAGACAGTGCTGAACCTTGCAGAGACTTTACTTGCGCCCCCCCCACGAGCTGGTATTAATGAAAATCACCATAAAACAATGCAGTAGCATCAGTGTTGCCAAATGTACAGATGGTAGGCAGTAGTGATACTGCTATCTTCCCACAACTAACAAATATCTAGAGGATCAAAGTAATTGAAAGAAACTGTCTGTCCCTGTTACTCAATAGTGGTAGCGGTGCCATAGGTTTATAATTAATCAGAAAGGTAACTAGGAAAGTGCTATTCCCAAGTCCATTGAGCCTTCAGTGTGTCACTGTCTGTTTTTTACATGCCTGTGCCTGTACCTCTGGGAGTGGTCATCAGTTTTTCATTTCACCCAAGATAGAGTCAGAGAAAAGCTTCATTCTGAATTTAAGCCTTGTAAAACTGTCTCAAATTTATTTGAAGCTATCAGGACAGATGCTCAAAGCCAGGCTTTAAAAAGGATTTAGGCACCTGAAGTTGTGCAGAGATGTTGTAGAAAATCCAGGTAGGTGTTGATGTATCTGATGCTTAATTTAGTGTAAAATTTATAAAAATGTTACTGGATTTTTACTAGCATGTTTAGGACCTGTAACATCTGCACACTTACCATCCAGTAAAGTAAATGCTGTTGGATCAGTCACAATCTCTGCATGATTTTGCTGGAAGTTTAAGGTGGTTTTGACTAGCCCTGGCTTTAGGTAGTGAGAATACAAGTTCATTGATTAGTTATATCACATTTTGCTGTTTTTGAGGTATAATGTTTTCCAAACAACGAGGACTATTGAAGCTTGTTGAGAGATTTCTTTTGGCTTCAACATTGTTTGAATCAGATCCAAAATGAAACCTCCCTTTA